ACTATACGGGCAGTTGAATGGGCTGAGAACCATCCCAACTGTTAACCAGGCTGGTAAAGACCGGTCAGGTATATAAATATTATGTAGGACAAAGGTCCATCAGTCGGTTGCGATCGGCTCCTCCGTAATGTGAGACGGGGCAGGGTGCTGCGGGGCCGTGTCAGAGCTATATGCGCTGACCCTCATGTATGGGCATGCGATTGGTCCTGTGGCGCCAACAAAGTGTGCTATGTGATGAGATATGGAGGAGTTGTGTTTATGAGTATATTGGGGGATGTGACTAAGGGATTTATGCTGGGGATTGTTTATGTTGGGTTATGATTATTAATTGTGCTTATCTTTATCTGTCTTGCCTGTTGTGGATCATATACGCTTGTTATAACTGTTGCTTGTGTCTAGCCGTATCTGTCGAGTCATTCCCGGTTTTAAAAGCTAGAGTCTCGTAGGATATATCTTCATGCTTAAAAAGGATTTTCGTATATCTATATATATCTCTATATGTAATGTATTTCAACACGTTGGAGTGGGTTACCAGCATCTCTTGCTGAACAGATATATTTGGCTTTCAGGCACAGAAGATTAAGTCACTGGAGTGCGCTAGAGCTTGGATCATAGAAATAGTTAGTTTCCCTTTCGGCCTGCGTGCCATGTTTATGCATTCATATCTTTGAGACATTAGTTAGTTAGCCTGTGCACCTGAGTTCTCTAGCTCAGGTGTGGCATAGCACCCCGTACACTCGTACTCTGTTTGGGATTTAATGAGATTTCACCCTTAATTTATAAGTTTTAAATATCTTGAAAATCTGGGGTGTTACAAAAATACCACCGCGTCGTCTTTTTAAAATTACATCTGATTTATTCATCTAGACACGTGAACGGGGCTGAATGGTTTCCATTCCTCTCTTAGACGGTCGTTCGCATGAGAGCGTGCCCCTATATATATATATATATATATATATATATATATATATATATATATATATATATATATATATATATATATATATATATATATTTTATTTATTTATTTATTTATTTATTTATTTAACACGTTGAATGCATGTTTCCAAGTAATTTTAGTCGCTAGAACACTACCCTGCACAAGCATTGTTCACCATCACTGATTGGTCAAAGTCTCTACTGCTAGAAGCAAGACTACTCATTAACAGGGACGGAGGTACCTTAGGGCGTAGGGGGGCCCTGGCCCCATACCCCTACCTTCACCCTAAATTTTTTTAGTAAATATGTATGTATATATTGATATAGTATGGATAAAATACACTTTTGGCCCCCCTCTATTTTTTTTTTTTTAAAAAAAAATCTATAATGTTTATATTAAATGAACTCAAAATATATATTAAAGTTCAAATTCATTAAATAAAAAGAAATAAATCAAATAATTAAAGTGACCATTTTTCTTTATTATCTTATTTCTTTTATCAAGATTTTAGTAATGAATGGCATCAAGTATACATTTTAATTTAAAAAAATCTCCAAATTTGAGATATATACTTTGGTTTTATTAGTTATATAGAGTTAATTCCCAAAATGGTCCTCCCACTATGACCTTTTCTCAAATTGGTTTCTTGACTTTTAATTGCACTCAAAGTGGTCCTCCGACTATAGAATTTTAAGTCAAAATGGTCCTCCGTTAGTTTTGGTATTAAGTGGGTGTTAAAATGGGGGGTAAAACTGGTAATTTAGGGTTTTCACTATAGTCAAAGGACTACTTTGGGTGCAACTAAAAGTCAAAGGACCAATTTGAGAAAAAGACATAGTCGGAGGACAATTTTAGGAATATTCTCTTTATAGTTCAAACATGATTTGTACGTATTTTGATTAAAAGCGGTTGATCTTATACTTATTTTCATTTTCTAAATAAACAATCTTTTTACTTTAATTGTTAGCTAGAAATTTTTATTTTTTTTAAATAACTTAGAATAATAATTTGGATTATTAGCCTAGTCCTTATATATAGTTGTACAAACTAACATTAACTTTGGATGAACTCTTTATTATTCATAAATCCTTGACATTATGTATTTGAATTTTGATTTTCTACGATCATAAATAGGCATACATATAATGACAAAACTATAATGAAAATTATAACTAAATGGAGAACAGACATAAACCATTGCTCATTAAAAAAAAAAAAGACTACAGTTAAATTCAAACAAATAAGAAAGATAATAAAAAAAATTATTGTCTATTATAAAAATACAATATTGGTTTATAGGGGCAAAACAAAAAATGTTAGTCAGTGGAGGTGAATTTTTTTTTTTTTAAACTTCAAAACGTGATAAAAGGATATTTATAATAAAATATGAAATGGTTGGAATAAATTGTATATCATCGCTATGAATATTATATATTCATAAATACTTTTAAATTTAATTAGATCAATTCTAAGTATTTTATATTAATTTAAATACGATAATACACAGTTGAAACTTTTAGTTTATATTAACTAGATAGTTCATAAAAATGAAATTTTCTTTTAAAATATTAACTAGATAGTTCAAATTGGTCATTTGACTTTTAATTGCACCCAAAGTAGTCATCTGACTATAGTAAAATATTGAATTATCAGTTTTACCCTCATTTAAACACCCACTTAACACCAAAACTAACGATGACCATTTTGGCTTAAAATTCAATAGTCGGATGACCACTTTGGGTGCAATTAAAACTCAAGGAACCAATTTGAGAAAAGGTCATAGTCGGAGGACTTTTTTTGGGAATTAACTCTAGTTATATATGCTAATTAATTAATTAGTCATTTATTGTGTGTTTTAATTATTTATTTACTGTGTGTTTTAATTATTTATTTACCAGGACTATGTGATCTAATGGTACCCGGGTTGGATTTCCATTTGGAAGATTATGAGTTCAAGCCTCAGTGGAGGCGTTATTGGTTCTTTGTGTTTCAGTAGGTTGAGAAAGTATATGAACAGATACTACAATGTAATAGAGCCAGTAACTTTCAAAAAAAAAAAATTATTTATTTACATTTTTAAGATGCACATTTGCTAGTTTAAATGATTAGTTTTGAAATTGACAAAAATTAATATTGATTATTTAATTCGTCTTGATTTTTGTCTTTATCTCTCAAATTTTGAAATATTCAGTTAACCAGTAAAATGAATATAAGTTAATTATGAAAAAAATTAGTGAAAAAATAATTGACAAAATTTTTATTTGATTTTAAGTGACAATCTATTTTTAAATAAATGTTGTTATTGTTATTATTATATTTTGTGTTAATGTGAAAATTTTCTAAAGTAATGATTGACACCTGTGTCGATTGTACTCATAAAATTATGTATTTCATACTTTATTACACAGTATAATTAGAAATCGTTATCAATAATAATCACAATAATGTATGGTATATATAATTAATATGGTGCGGTTAATTATAATGTCGACTAACATTGTAAATTTTCTCTACTACATCGCCCCCTCCCCCCCCCCCCCCCCCCCCAACTTAAGTTTTCTGGCTCCGTCCCTGCTCATTGACAATTGTTATATCATGGACCAGGGTTCATACTGAACTATGTATCTTGGTTCATGTGTTTGTGTTTTGTGTTATGACTTTTTGTGTCTTGCGTTATGAAATTTTGAACTTTATGAGTATGAATTTTGTACCTGTAACAAATTAATAATTGGCTTATATTATGAATTTTTGTATCTTGTGTTGTGAAACTTTGTATATATGAACACAAATTATGTACTTAAATCATATTTGAATAATAAGTAAATATATAACATTTGTGTGTGCCCTGTGTTATGTTTTTTTGTGTCTTGTGTTATGAAATTATGTACCTTACGAGTATAAATTTATATATCTAGTCTTTTTAATCTAGCTGGGTCCATAATGTTATGCTATGTGTTTTGTGTTGTGATTTTTTATGTGCTATAAAATTCTTTACCTTACTTTGTACCTCATTGTTTTAATCTATGATTCATGCTATGTAGAACCTAGTCCATAATATAAATTACCATTCACTGATTGGTCTACCTCTTGAGCTATTCCAGTAACGTCGAGTCCAAATGGGTGGTCGTTCAGTTTCGAAATTAACTGTTTTACATTAAAATTCACATATATTTTTGCATACAGGCGCCCTTCGGTTTTAAAATTAACTAAATTTTCATATTGATAAAAATCATTTATTAAATTTTATTTATTAAAAAAACCTCAAAGGCTATAAGATGTCATTTGTTAGCTAAGAAAACTTTCACAAAAATGTAAAAAAGTACATAGTTTTTTTTTTTTTTAAGGAAATTGTATTTTTGTAACTCCAGTTATATTCGTGGTACAGGCTTAGTCCCTGAGTTATATGCGTGACCATCTTTAACCCCTAAATTACATGGAGTGACAATTTCAGTCATTCGAGAAATAGTACCTGGGGTACAAAAATCGCCACTTCGTGCATCACTTAGAGGTTAAAGATGATCGCGCATATAACTTAGAAACTAAATTTGTACTACGAGTATAATTAAAAGATAAAAAATGAAAATTTTTCCCTTTTATGTGTAATTGAGAAAGTATTTTTTAAATTAAAATCTAATTTTTTAAAAATTAGATTGCGTTTAGTAACTAAGAAATTTAAACTTTTCTATAAATTTAAAAGGTAGCAATTATGAATGAGATTTCTTAGAAGTTAGGAAAATAAATCTAACCTGGGTAGGATTCTTTTTCCGAATGACTAATAAGATATACAATTTAGTAAGTTACATAGTTATCATTTAACTTATAAATAGATCATATTTGCTATATCCCACACGTTGTTTTACCTATTCGCACCATCGGAGAAGATCGTAACTCATGAGATTGTTGCTCCAGTTTCTTCCATGTTTATATTGTTGTAAATTTTCACAATTATTGAAAAATGAAAATTCGGCAATGAAAGAATGATTAAATTACTAGGAATGTTAAATTCTTGTGTTTGGTTTAAAACTGAAATGTGTAAATAAAGCAACAGTAATAAGATAAATTGATTAAAATACCAAAAGCTCAAAATTAATAATTAATAATAAGAACCAAACATTGAAAATTTTATATTTCCAAACAAATATAACCTTAGTTATCTTAATAACTTGAACCAAACACCTCCTATTCTGCATTCTGCATTCTGCATTCGTGACTTGATAGGATAAAACACATCTTCATCAAAATCATTGTTCTTTAAAAATTAGAAGCACTTTCTGTGCACAATTGATGGACCAGACTCATCATACTCCGCCTTGGCAATCCACATCTGCACACACCAATAAAATGTTAAAATATAAAATCACAACAATACACAGTGTATTACATGTACAAATCAAATAAATTAGTTTGGAGTGACCCAACCAAGATGGCTAAAGGTACAAACTTGTAACCATAAAGTCACGAGTTCGAATCCCAACTTTCTTGGTTCGAGCGGATCATGTATGGACAAGATAGTGAGGGCAGGTTTCCCTCGTCATCCAAAAGAATAATAATAATAATAAACTATTGCCACATGAATAAACATACACACATATATATATATTCTTTACTTTATGGGGTTGGTTAATGTCAAACCTGTTGGAATGTGCTGAGGGAGGCTAAGATGGAGCCTCCAATCCAGACACTGTATTTCCTCTCAGGTGGTGCCACCACCTTGATCTTCATGCTGCTAGGGGCCAATGCAGTAATTTCCTTGCTCATTCTATCAGCTATACCAGTGAACATGGTAGTACCACCACTGAGTACTATGTTTCCATAAAGGTCCTTTCTTATGTCGACATCACATTTCATTATAGAATTGTATGTGGTCTCATGGATTCCTGCTGCTTCCATCCCAATAATCGATGGCTGGAAAAGGACCTCAGGGCATCGGAAACGTTCTGCTCCTATGGTGATAACTTGTCCATCAGGGAGCTCATAGCTCTTTTCTACAGAAGAGCTAGTCTTTGAGGTCTCGAGCTCTTGCTCATAGTCAAGTGCTATGTAAGAAAGCTTTTCTTTCATGTCTCTCACAATTTCCCGCTCAGCTGAAGTGGTAAATGAGTACCCACGCTCTGTGAGAATTTTCATCAAATGATCTGTCAAGTCACGGCCAGCCAAATCAAGACGAAGGATGGCATGTGGAAGAGCATAACCCTCATAAATAGGGACAGTGTGACTGACACCATCACCAGAATCCAAAACAATACCTGAAAAGGAAAAGCAGAAGCAACACCAAGGACCATGAGTGGGTAGACCGTAGACAGAAGTTCAAATTAAGAAAATCTCAAAAATTTTTAAACAACAGAACATACACCTCTACTCTCTTGGGAATTTTTCTGTAATGAACTTGAAACACTTCGAAGTGAAATCAATAAGATGATAAATAGGTATAAAACTCTTACCAGTTGTACGCCCACTAGCATATAGCGAAAGAACAGCCTGAATGGCAACATACATTGCTGGGGCGTTGAATGTCTCAAACATAATTTGGGTCATCTTTTCGCGATTAGCCTTAGGGTTTAAAGGTGCTTCAGTCAAGAGTATTGGATGCTCCTCAGGGGCAACACGAAGTTCATTATAAAATGTGTGATGCCATATTTTCTCCATATCATCCCAGTTGTTAACAATACCATGTTCAATGGGATATTTCAAAGTTAAAATTCCTCGCTTTGACTGGGCTTCATCTCCTACATATGCATCTTTTTGACCCATACCCACCATAACACCTGTGTGACGGGGGCGGCCAACAATGCTAGGGAACACAGCTCGTGGAGCATCATCTCCAGCAAACCCAGCCTAGAATTTGATCCAATACAAACCTTTTTGATTAATTGAATTGAGAAAAAAGAGCCCAAACTTTATAAAATAATTAAATAACATAGAAGTTCATCAACATATAATAGTAAAATCATCCACTTTGGCCAAAAAATAAAAGAACCCTAAATCAGTACCTTGACCATTCCTGTACCATTGTCACAGACGAGTGGCTGAATATCCTCTCCCTCTGCCATCTTATGCTACGTCCTGCAAGAAAAATGCAACATTGATGAAAAAAAAAAAAACAAAAAAAAACAAAAACAAAACAAAAACAAAAAAAAAGAGGTAATACATGAATCAAGTCATACAACTCTAACATCTTGGTGCTCTATTACTAGTCATAATCATAAATGTCTAAATACAGAAACTGGTGCAACAGTAATGTCTAAACTCTTGGTTAACTTTATCCATGAATCCTGAATGACAGAAAAGCTATGAGATATGCATTGCCATCTAATAAACATATAATGATACTATAAAAAATATACGGAATCCAAATGAATAATCTTTACTTCAAGTAAAAACTATAATGACGAATAAAAACTATGATATCTCAGTGTTAATTGTTAAGAAATAGATATGACTTATGGAGTTTCTGAAATAATGACTGTGTAAGCAAGCTCTTAGTTTTATTTATGAAAATGGATACTTCAAACCATTTAATATCATACATTTCCAGGGCAGTCTGAAACCTGTTAGAATGAAATCCAGAGATAGTGCAAGGGCAGGTGCTCAAGGCGTGCATATATTTTTGATAAGTAAAATCAGACTTTGACAACAACCAATTATTCAAAAATTTTCACTGCAGCAAATGAAAAAGCTCTTATTTTTTTATTGTTCTGCTACAAAATTCAAAGACATAATATTTAGAATAATGTCAACACGTACATACATCTATATATATATATATATATATATATATATATATACACACATACATGTACAGGGTACGTTTCAGGTGTGAACTAGTGCCATCGTGTGAACCTGTGAACCCCTATGCACCATTCAAATGAGAGATCAAACGGCTGAGATGATTGGAGTGGTGTACTGGTGCATCCAATGCATGGTGCATCGGATGCAGTGATACAATGGTGCAGGTGCATCAGTGCAATGATGTATATTACCCGGTCAAAAAAAATTATAAACAACAAGATCAATCAAGATCATCGGTACACAATAATACACAGATTCACATGATAGCATTGGTTCATGTTTGAAACGAATTCTACATGTACATATCATCATATCATGTACGCATATAAAACCGATCCGAGATAAAATGCAAAGTTGTCAAATAAAAGCAAAGGATGAAAATCATGAACAACGTTTCATTAAAATCAAACGCCAATCCGATCTAAAAAAACATCATCCAAATCAGAATGCTAAAATTATCATTTCGGAGAAATTCAAAGCTCTCGAGCGTAAAATAACAAATATACGGAAAAAAGGAGAATGGTTACGATTTCTGATTCATATCCACAGACCAAAAAGTATAAACTAACAATCGAATGTAGGAAACAAAGCAATCCATGATCGGATCAGTGGATCGAAAACGGAATGCAATTGAATCTACCTTTGTGAAAGTGGAAACCTGAGAGAGAATGACGAGAGATAGACAACGCTGCAAGGGAATCGGAGCTCCAAACTCTGCACTTCTCTGAGAGAGTTAGAAGGCGTAGGGATTATATGGAAGAAAGAAAACAAACGTGAGCCGTTGGATTAAGATGCAGTCTGGATGTACGGACGTGGGAGACACGTCGTGGGACTATCATTAGGGGTATTTTAGGAAAACCAATTTTTTCCCTCCAAAAGAAGACTGATGAAGTGGTTAATAATCATGGATATACATAAATTATTTTACTTCACTAATTTATTAATATAAAGTATTGAATCAAATCAAATAAAATAATGTCATGTCAAAATACGAGAAAATTAGAATGTAAAAATTTTGGATAATGAGTAGTATTGCTGTTTACTAAAATATAATAAAATGAAATTGGCAAAATAGGATTCTTTATTTCTTTTATAGGCAAATTAGTATTTGCTGCGTGCGTTGCACAAACAAAAATTTATATGTATTATAATGTTATGATACTAAACAAAATTAGTTTTATTAAAAATGTAATAAGTATAATTATACAATGTAATATTTAATATTTTTAAAAATTTAATTATGTTATTATTATGTTAATTTTAAAGTTTATTGTTATTTGAATCTGAATTTAAAATAACTAATTTAATTACATAGTTAATGTATTTAAATAAAAAAATTTTAAATAAAATAACATGCAATATTTGTCAAAAATCTCCATAAAAAATTTATTCATTTGAAAAAAGATTATTTATATAAGAACTATGTTTATGATATATCTAACTAGTAAATTATTCGTGTGATGTATGGATAATTTTGTTTTTATTTAAACTAGTATTTTCACCCGTGCAATGCACGTAATAGATTTGTTATAATATTTTAAGAATATTTGGATTGATATACAATTATATAAATTATAACGTCAAATATTATATAGTGCAATTGAAGAATTGAGTTGTATCGACTGTATTTTCTGATGTTATCCTTGCTTGAATTCGAACAAATAATTGCCCAATTAATAACCAATCTGTAGATGTACGCATCCGGTGCTGAAAATTTAGAGATTTTATATATCGGTGTTTATGATTTGTATTAAGTGGCAAATTTACTCGTTGTCTAGCAACTGAGTTATATAAATCATTTGCTATCCTAATTTATTTGTATGGAAGATATAATTTATGTGTAGATATATACCAATTTTGTCATCCTCGCATAAAAAGAAAACATAATATCACTGGCTGGAAGTACACATTATTGAAAATCTCTTTGTAGATGACATTGGTAGTAGCAACAGCATATTATCCATCCTCGTCCAGAGCTAACACCTTCCGCCCATCAGGATGGGTGATTCGGGAAAAGCCACATACAATAGACCATTGCCCATTGCATTACTATTTTCTTTGGGGAATCAATGAGCTCGGATTCATATGTATCACATATAATACATATATTATAGTTAATTCGTTTTTTTTTTAAAAATAATTAATCAGGGATCATTTAGAATTTTGAGTAAATTAGTAATATTCATTTCTTTTTTCAATTGACCTAATTTATTTGTTATTTTTAATCATAGTCAATTACTTTTTAATACATATCAATTAGTTAATTATTAATAACAAATTTTTTTAATATTCTCAGTCAATTATTAATAATAAATTATTTTTTCAATTTACCATTTTCTTTTAATTACCATATAATTAACATAGTCATGGAATAACGTAGTAACAATCTTCTCTGTGCAAAGTATTCTCTGTGCAAAGTATTCTCAAAATAGTTTGTCCATTACATGAATATTTTCTCTGGAAATCAATGAGTTCAGATCCATATATATCCATATAATACCTATATTATAGTTAATCTGTTTCCTGTTTGAAATAGTTAATTGAGGATTATTTTTAATTTCCAGCCAATTATTAATGTTCATTTCATTTTTATATTGGCATAATTTTCTTGTCATTTTTTATCTCGGTCAATTATTATTTTGTTACTACATATCAATTATTTAATTATTAATAATAGATTTAAAAAAAAATATTTCTAGTCAATTATTAATAACATATTCATTTTCCAATTTATTTATACTATTGTTTGGGCAGTCTGGCCATTTCATTTTTCATTTGAATCAATTTGTAATTATTTTTAATTTTTAATCAAGTATTAATATTCATTTCATTTTCTAATTGGCCTAATTTCCGTGCCATTTTTATTCTCAGTCAATTATTCCTTTTTAATACATATTAATTAGTTAATTATTAAAAATTAATAACATATTTATTTTTAATATTTCCAGTAAATTATTAATAACAAATACTTTTTCCAATTTACTTATACTATGGTTAATCCGTTTTCTTTTCGAAATAGTTAAATGCCAAAAATGTCGTTTGATTCTTCAGCAGTTTGGAGCAATGGTTTGTTCCAAGCCGTTGAAAACTGAAATTTTACATTTTGCAGCATTTAAATTTGACGCTTAGAGAAAGAATAACCTTTTTCTCAAAACACATTTGAATTATATTTAATTAGTTTTTTTTTTAAAAAAAAAAAACTTATAACTGAAGCCATTAAATGTTCCTTAAATGAATGAGTCTTTTAGGCTATCAATACTTGCCTAGCAGTGATGGGCAAACAAATCATTTCGTAAGTCATTAAGGGAGTCTTATATAGAGGAGCTCTTTGAGCTCATCTTCATTCAGTAACGATATTTGATCAAAGTTGATTCCAGATCAGTTGTGTTTTTTTTTTTATTATATATATTATTTTGTTTTGTATTATGAATTATTATTATTATTATTATTATTATTATTATTATTATTATTATTATTCATTTTTTTATTATTGCTATTGCTATTGCTATTGTTATTATTATTATTTTTTGAAAACTGTTGTTATTATTATCTTCTTCTATTATAATAAAGCAGAATCTATAGTTCCCGCCAAAAAAATTATTATTATAACTGATTTGGGAATCCGCACAACCACAATATTTATTTATCATATCTTAAATCAATTTTAAAAAAAAAAAACCTTTGTACATTTAGTGTAGAATACCCACAGTCACCATTTAATTCTGCCTGATGCCTCTTCAATCTTCAATGGAATTGGAATTAATAACTAACATTTATTTATAATATACATATACAAATTATAAAATGTACTATAAATAGTGGTCTAATCAGACTTCAAAAATAATCTTGCGAAAGCTGCTGTAAAACTGCCACTCAATACCTCCTAACCTCTCAGGTTAGCCATCTCCAGTCTCCGCATGATGAGAATAATCACAAGTATTATAACAGAAAGTGTGATAATTTCTGTTTTTTACCTTCTCTGTACTCAGTGGCGGATCCATAAAATCATCTGAGTGGGGGCGAATATTAAATGACGTTAGAAATGTGAATGACAAAATATCAAACAACCATAATGTTGGTTTTCACCGCGTTGATGGCTGCCCGGCAGGCCAACACTACCGGATAACTGTGTTTGCGAGTGTAAAGAAAGCGAGAAAATAAAGATAATTTTAGAGAATAATTGGTCGTTATTCCTTTAGGGTGTTGCCCTTCAAAATATGCCGCTCCCCGAGAGAGAGAGGGTTTCGTCTCCCGCCATGGAGATCCCATGGGGATATTTATACACGAATATCGAATCTATACATGGTAGGTAGGGCTGACATCTAGCCAAGGTCAAGGGTAAGTAGGGCTGACGTATGAGCTGATGCAACCATCGATTCCCTACCTTTCCTATCTAAGCGAATTATGGAAACTACCTAATCTAAGCGAATATTGCTTCCGGAAAATCTGCTGATACGCGTTTCGGGGCGTGTACCCAGTCGAGAGCTGTCCCGGTCGCATGAGGACACCTTCCTAAGTTTCTGCCTCCAGGTTGGAGCATCCCTCCTGGCAGGCCTGGTTGCCTGTCCGGGTCCTGGGGTGTTGCGCAGTGGGGGACCTCCCGCCCACGTGACCTGGTCGCCCGTCCCAGTCTCATGAGGCTCGTGATCAGGGACACACCGATCATCGTGACTGGTCGCCCATGGCATTTCCTTCCACGGCCCACTTGGGGACGCGCCGGCTGGCAGGCTGACTGCTCGATAAGTGCATAGTGGGCTTCGGGGCGTCTGTTATCATGATCAGGAGGTTCTTAGCCGTTTCCTCTTTCCCTCCTGGTCAGCCACCGGCTCGGCTCCCTTATTTGGCCTCTTGCCTAGGCGGCTAATTTGGGATATCTATCACCAGTCCCTCACTTTTTTAGGTTTTGGCTGAGCCGTTAACCTGAAAAAGTAAATAACAGAAAGCACAAGTTCCCCAAAGATGTCTTGGCCGCCTGGCTTCTCAGTCTGTCTGGATTTTGTTGAGCTCCCGAGCAAGTCCCAGGCTGGTCTCGGCATTACTGACTGGTCCCGTTTTTCCCGATTGGTTCTGGGAGCGGTACAGTCGCTCTAGGCGTACTGATGGCTATTTCGCTGATTCCACCGGGACATGCCTTCTCGCAGCCATCATGTAACATCCCTAATTTTTAAAGCCATAAGAGCTTATAAAAAATAAATGTGAATCTATTATTAAATCCCAAACAGAGCATAAATGACACATAATAGTCGGGGTGCTATGCCACACCTGAGCTAGAGAACTCAGATGCACAGGCTAAACTAACTAACAAAGCGTAAGTAATATCCAAATACAAATCAAGGCACGCAGACCATCTCATCAAAGCTAGAACTATCTAAACTAAGTCCACGAATCCATCTAGCGCGCTCCAAAGCTACTCAACTGCTCTTGAAAAACATTCGGTGTAACAACCGTCAGCGAATAATGCTGGTAACCCACTCCAATGCGTTAAGTACAATATAGGTAGATATAAGGAAATCATTTTGAAATTGGAATACATATATAACCTAAGCAACTATAGTTTTAAACCAAGATCAAGACACAAGGCATAACAATGACACTATAGAATGATCATAGAGGCTAGCATGCATCCTAAGAACGCAATACAAGACATAATAGACAGATAAGCTCATAAATAACAAATAGAGACAACAAGGGAATTCAGAGACAATCAATTAACAAGTAATCATCAAGGCACACAATCC